CATTCTAAGGGCTCGTTCTCGGCGTCGTTGACGATGGCTTCGTAGGCGAGTTCCCAGTCTATGCCTGTGATGTTCTTGACGTACGCATCGACTAGGACGTTATCGGCGTTGGAACCGCCCTGTGTCCAGCCTTTGCACGTGCTCATCATGCAGTCTGGCAGCCATCCGCGATGCTTATACGTATCCAGGAGACTTCGTACTAAACTGGACATGATGGATGGCTCCAACACAGTAAGGAAAGGCAGTTGCACGCGCCACATATCCCAGAGACAGTAGAAACTGTCAAAGTACGGCTCATCGCTCTGCCAGTGCGGGTTCTCGCCCGTGTAGTTCTGAGGAGATATCATCGTGCGATAAACAGCGCTCCAGAAGCTGGTCTGTATGCTCGTGTCCACTTCGCCAGTTTCGATGGTAATCGGAGCGAGCTTCTCACGCCAGGCTTCCTCGGCTGACGTGACAAGTCCGTCAAAGTCAAAGGTGGGCCCCGGGATTTCCCTCTCAGCATTTTGACAGGCTTGATCAGTACTGATGAAGCTCAATCCCATCCTTGCTAGCACCGGTCCTGAGAGTGGGCCGTTTAATCGGATGAATCCACCAGCTTGGACGTAAAACAAGTTGAAGCCGCGTGTCACGTAAAGTTCCTTTGGTCGCTCGCCGGCTCTGTCGTTGACCCATACTCCAGAGTCTTTGACAGTTCCTCCGGAAACATCAAGGCAAAAGTATGCCATGTAAGACCCCGCGCCGAAGCTGGGTAAAAAGGTGGCATTCCCTCTCATTCTACCCGATTGTTGGCCGGCATCGGCCTCGATAGCAATAGAAGCGTTTTGTCGACTCGCCCATAAGTCTGTCAGATCAAGCATGATGAGAGGATCGTTGCTTCCATTTCCATTAGATGCTGTGGAGAAGTCGAAGCGGAAAAGTGCAGCATGTTCTGAAACGGCCATATCAGCATGTATGCCGTTTTCCAGTGTTACTCCAAAGTAGCCGGGTCGTGCTTCGATTGAATCGTTTCGATAAGGAGTTGCGCGTGCTGTGATTGGAAACTTGCATGTGTTGATGTCATCGCCTGAGCACAACTGCGGAAAGATGGGGAAGTTGCCTAAGCTTGGATTTCCTCCTGTTCCAGAGTCATGCAAAGCTGAGAAGCCGGTGATGTTGCTGCCGTCCGTGGAGAACCCCCCGGTATTCGCACCGTCCACATCCGCAACGGCTGCAGGGTTTTAGCAATTGGCTATCAATGTTGCGCTCCTGTAGCCGACCTTTTGCCATGCCGTATGGTAGTGTTGCGCCTGCAAAGACATTACCGCCGTCTCTACTACCGATCAATGGGTCCACCCATTGTAATGGATCGAAGTCGGCGGTTTGCTGCGCCAGTGTTCCTGTTATCAACAGCGCTGCAAGCTGTGTAAAGGTCCAGACACAGCGACATAGGCTTTTCATTTCTAGATATAGGCTCGATTCTCGTGTCCGTGAAGTTGTACCAAAATTATCGAGGCGCGTATTATTGCAAGTGATTGGATTGGTCGCTTCGTAGACAGGTCGATGGCACGTGTGAATGCGTCTACGGAGTGGCCACGCAGCGAACGCAACTTGAGCAAGAACGATCGATCAAACATGCCAGTCGCGACTTTCTTAAGTCATTTCAAGTACCGCATGGCGAGTTGAATTGCGTCGGGGTGATCGCAGCTCAACACTGTCCTAGTGGGGTTTATTGCGGGGTAAAGCAACCGACTGTCTGGTACTGCAACCTTAACTGCATCGTAGCATCTGATAATAATCGTCGATGCCTTCGAAGCGCGAGCGACAGGACATGAAGTTGAAGGTCTGAGTCCACGTTCAGCCTTGCACAGCTATCTCGCCGTAGCGTCTCGTCTTGTCGCAGGCCAAGATCGCGCCCAGTCCTGCCTACCCCACAACCGGCTCCTTGTGCTGCTGTGGAACATGTGACCCTGCCGCAAAACCTTATGCAGCGGTACGGAAAGCGCGAAGGAATTCCGGTGGTCATGCATCGAACCAAGGCCATTACCCCGAAATGGAACCACCGACAGAGGGAAGATCGTCCCGATCGATATGCCCTGTGCAGCACTTACGCAGTGCCGGTCGTCCAACGAAGTTTAGGTGCTTACTATGGGCTGCTCTTTTCGATGATTGGCATGGATCCCCACGATCGGAGTGCTGGCCTCGCACGGGTACACGACCCGACCAGTCGGAGATCTCGTGGAAGAACAGGCGCACGTGTGCCTTCCATTAAGACTGACTCTCACAACTTCCCTTTCCCCAAGAGAGCTCCAAGCCCATAAACCATGCACCCTCAAGAATGAAGAACAGTTTCGAGCCTAATTTCACCCATCTTTCCGCTCCAGATTTCTGCCACGTATGATTTGCACCGTCTCGGATCGACCCTGCAATACGGCGACGTCGTGGTCATCATCCACGTTTGCTGTAAGGGTGACGTGGGTTTGCGCAGTCTCCCATCCAGTAAAGACGAGCGCCTCGTGAGTTCCCGGTGCATCGCATCGCCAGCCGTGTGCTACTCTGAACGTGTGATTGCCTCGGAGCTGTTGCGCATAGCTTGTGACAGCCCTTTCGAGATCCTCGACGCACTCTTCCTCAAAACGAAGTCTCTCCATTGCCAATATGGGTGCCTCTAATGGAAGTGAATGTATACCATCTAGTTCCACATGGACAGTCCAACAAAATTGGAGCATATCTTCTTGGGGGCTTAGAACCTCGTCCCGCGCTGGAGATTCTAGGAATTCCAAGTGTGCTTCCAAATTTGGCCATATGCCCAAAATATAGATCAACTTGGGGTCCTCGATGCAGTTGTAAAACTGTGAGCTTGTGTGCAGCTTCTCTCGCACGGCTGACAGGTTCTCAAGCAATGCTGGATCGTCGGCGGCAACATTCTTGAGACGCAATTGGGTTATTTCGAGGACCGCCATGCTTCACCAGGATTGTGAAGAAGGCAGAGCTCGTGTCGTGGACTAGAATAGCGCTGTAGAGAGGATGTGTATGAACACAGTGGTGATGATGGACGGAGAGAACCTGGAACACGGCCGGACGGTGACTGGGGTGAGTTAGCGCCTTGGCATTCCACCCCTACGCCGCGCAGCGATTGAGATTGAGGCCAGTCAGCGGCTACTTCGACACTCTCGCTGCCTGAACATCATCTGTGCCTGGTACGCCTCGCAGGCTTGAGACGGTAATGTTACGCGAAATCTTCCAGCCTCGGTCGATCGAAGGGATCCTATTGGTGTTTGCGGAAACTTCGCATGACCTCGCAGTGCGCCCATCGACCACCGTGGCCACGACGTTACATCACAGCATTCTCTGAAATAGTTGCATGCAAGTACAACTATTATTAAAGAGCTCTCTGGTACATGGGCTCGTGGTGAGTCAAAGGCGACGCCATGTGCACTTCTGCGCCCTCCCAGCAACCCATCTTCTGGACGCCGCCAGTGTCAAGGCAACCTATCGGCGCACGTCTTCCTCTTGGCGATGCTTGTCGCTATCTCGTAATGCAAAAATAGCCTGTCAAACAGCTGCAGGCAACAGTGAAAGCTAGACGTTCCATGCTATCGTTGGTTCGTGATACAGCGACGTCATTGCGACAGAGCCGGCATCACCGGAATGTGCTCGGGATCATCTCGAGGAAGCTGTCTCACGATTTTGATTTGGACTCGCAAAGTAGGCCTGAAGCGGTTGCAAGGCATAGACGCTCTGCCGATTGATGCATATCAGCAGCACAGCCCTCAGAACCACCAGGCGCCATCCAACGGTATGGCTGCATACCGGTGAGCTGTCTAGTAACCGGAGACATCTAGAGCTTCACCATGCTAAACCGTTTTGGGTACTCTGATTATCAGGGCCCTAGGCGAAACCGCGATCCTATTAGTTGGCCGTTTGTTTTACAGTATAGTGCTGTAAGCCCGCCACGGTTCAGCCGTAAACCTGGCGTCCCCTGATTAACGGACCACCCACACCCACGGGGTCGCTTCATACTTCCCGCTCTCGGCCCCCAAAACTGTGCAGTCCACATCTTTAGAGACACAGGATACCGCATACAGAAGAGTATATATCGCCACAGGGGAAGCGAACCCGCAGATCGCTGAATCCTTCTCATATCTCTGATATCAATGTCGTCTCCACAGGATCACGGTACTGTAGTCGAAAGCTCTTCGAGTGACTCACCGACTTTGTCGGATAGTGGAATTGGGAGTGCGCCACCGATGCCTCGCAGACCAATTCCAAGGAAAGGACACACCAAATCCCGCCGCGGTTGTTTCAACTGCAAGAAAAGGTACTGTATCGATGTTCGGGTATTCATATTGTTCAATTGTCCTAATCAGAGCACAGAAGGATCAAATGTAACGAGAGACATCCTGAGTGCCACCATTGTACCAAGGCGGGATTGCAGTGCGAGTATCCAGCAAATATCATTCAAGCAATGCAACGTCTTCCTACTTCACCGCACCCTCAGGAGGGAGGCAACCTAGGATCGATTCCAGGCGTCTTCGTAAGTGTACTTCAAGCGTGCTTTGAATGGTATAGTAACCTCCAATCATAGTCCATGGCAGACATGCGTTTATTTCATCATTTTCTCATCACGGCCTACCCGCATCTCCCGGTCGGAGCAGACAAGATCTGGATCACGGCGATTCCCGGCTTTGCGCATAATGTATGTGTTTCCATCAGAGCCCGGAAGACATGGAAGAAGCTTGTTGGCTATGCTCAACCTCAAAAAGGAGTGCTAACCATTGTAGTACGAGTATCTTATGCATTCCATCTTGGCGCTGGCTGCGTCACATCTGGACGCTGTAACGCAGTCGGGTGTTGCAGAACTAGCCATACAGCACCGAATCCTCGCTGTCAAATCCCTTAACGAAGCGCTCTCAGTACCCCCGACGACCGCTTGCGAGCGAGATGCGAGAATGGCCGCGGCTTTGGTACTTGCTTTCCAATCAAGTCACCTGCAGGACGGCATGGCAGAATTCATGACGATGGTCCGTGGGTGCAACCTGATCGCAGGTAACAACATGATGTTCATCGCCGACTCAGTCTTCAACGTATGTACAGCTATCTTTGTCCGAGATTGAAGGCTCACACTGACCCCCTATAGGCATTCTGCGCAGATTCCCACCTTGAGAGAATTCAGAAGCGGATCGGAACATCGAGGGTGAGCTGCTTCAACCGCGAAGATCTCGACATGGCATCATTATCCCTCGACCTTGTCCAGACCTTGAACATGTCCGACTGTGAGCGGTCATACTGGGAGTTGCTCGTATGCACAATCACCCATGCGTATGACCGCCCACCAGAGACATATCAAACCTTTGTTATGCTCTACAACACACCATCCAAGTGGACTCATGATGAGTTCCAAGCCTTCATCGATCCCAACAACAGTGTTGCGCAGATTCTGCTGGCTCATTTCATCGCGGTCCAGGCTGTTCTTACACCCATTCTCTACCTCGAAAGAGTGGGCTTTGAGGGCGTACATGCCCCTACGGCCGTGCTGAGCTGGATCGAAGGGATATACTGGAATATACCGTGTCGCATGAGGCATCATGTGGAGTGGCCCAGACAAGTGTCGCGGTATCCTTTCACGCGATTCATGGGACAGAAGGAAGTAAAATATTGCGATGTAGACCCCCTTCTCATTTGACATCGTCGGCAAGTTACACTTTTATTGGACTCTTTTTGTTGCGCACTATCGAGCCTGTGTATTACTTACGAACAACGGCCTTTATGTACTACTAAGATACCCGCGATCGCTTTGTAGCTTCTACTCGGAATTCATTTCATTTTATTACAAGTTTACATTCTCAATGAACATGAAGAAATCGATGTTACCAAGACCTAGATACCACACCTGCTTTCTCTCAAACTTCCAGCCTCAACAAAACTTCGCTCGGCACCCACAACATCTCCCCCTTCCCTCAAGTCCACCCACAAACCAAACAGTTATCTCTATCTTCCCTCTTCACATGCCCATGATATTCCTTCTGCACGCACATATCAATCTCCGCATAACCAATACCAATCCTCGCATACCGATCCATAACCGCCTTCCAAAAAGCGATTGGAATCTGTTCCGCCGTCTCATCCTCCAGTTTCATCCCAGGTTCGGCGTTATGAACTTCCCCCGGTCTGTATTTATCGCAGTGATAGTCCACGAGTAGACGCCTCAAGCGGTCTGAGGCATCAGTGTGTCGGAGAAGCTTCGTGTATGCGAAAATGACGGTCGGGTAGTACGGGGTTATTCCTCTCTCGAACGCCTTATCGACAAACGCGTTTCCAACGGCTTCTTCGAATAGGGGGATCAGGTATTGGCCTGCAAAGTCTAGGCATTGGGCTACGAGCAGGCAGTCCCATTCGGAGGGTTCTGGTAGCTTTTGCGTGTACAGCCAGTCGATGAAGATGTCGAAGACTTCGGGCTCTACATTTTGGAGATATATCGGAGCATCGTGTGCTAGGCGTAGCTTGAAGAGGGTTGAGTAGTGCGAGAGATAGTCGGTGTGGAGCAGGTATGACTTTTTTGAGGTGCCGACTCTGACGAGGATGGTACCATAACTGCCTTGGCGTGCGATTTTACTATAGTCGAAGTTAGTCGGGGGTACTTAGCTGTAGATGTGGGAATTTTCATACCTCATCCGGGGTGGCTGCGTATCTGCCTCTGCAGGACGCTTTAGGGACTGTGACTCTGGCGGTTGAGTGGCGGAGGCCATGACGACGATCTTTTGACTTGTAGTAGGCAAAAGGTCAGGATGCAGGACTTGTAGTGTATGCAAGAGTTGTAGTGTATGCAAGAGTTGTAGTGTATGCAAAGAGTTGTAGTGTATGCAAGAGTTGTAGTGTATGCAAAGAGTTGTAGTGTATGCAAGGAGCAAAGGAATGAAATCTTGATTTATTGCTATGAACTTCTGCGTGCATCCACTGCGCAATGATGTTGAACCACATGCTAACCAAGGTATCTTGGGCTTGGGACCAGATTACGGCAGTATATTATACCTGCGATTTCTCTTATTCGTGTGAGTATCTTTTCGTCAAGGTCGTCGATGTTGCGGAAGTTGTGAGTGGCTCGTCTCGCTCTGCGTCATCGCACGTACCATGGGATGAACCAGATTGTGACAAGTTCGGCCAATAGGAAAGCTGTGGTTTGTATTCGCGAGTAGTATGGTAATATACGCAATTATTTTATACGGCCCCTCGAAGCGTGTGCGTGATCTAGTCTTCCGATAGTGTTGCTGTCTTAGTCCCAAAAGAATGTGGTACAGTATACCAGGCCTGTGTACCGTGCCTCGATCAAAATCGTATTCCATCTGCCATCGCACCCATCCAGTACCCTACCCAATCACTGCGACATACTCCCAAACCACTTCCTCATCAAGCTCTTCCTCCCCTTCTTCAACTCATCAACCTCTTCTTCCACGACGTCAACCTCCTCCAGCCTACCCACCCACTTTGCAGGCCCCCGCTCTCTGACCGCTCTCTCCTGTGCTCTGAGCCAATAGTCCTGCTCCATATTACGATCATTACAGGCATTGGTGTACCACTCATGCCACTCCTGATGATCCCAACCGCACCTGCTCCCCCACTTCTCTTTAACCTTCTTCGCGAAGCCCTCGACCTCCGTCTGCGCACACGCCGAGCAAAGAGTCTCCTGCGGCAAGAAAGAAGTGCCAGAAAACGGTGTGCGGTAGTAAATGTAATGGTTCGAGTAAGGTGTGTAGTACGCCTTGCAGTGGCTCGACGTGCAAGGACGGAGTGTATACCTCCAATCCCATACTTCTTCCTGAACCCCAGGTTTCCCGCTCGCATGATTGCTTTTGGCGTTTAGGGGCACGGGAGGGGCGCCCAACACTCTTTGCTTGTGCTCTCGTACTAGTGCCGCGTCTTTGCTTCTGCGGTCGCGGCGGAAGGCCTCTTTGAAGATTTCGAACTCGGAGGCTATGACGTTGAGGGTCTTGCGGCCGGCGCTCTGGCGTAATGTCTCGTAGGCTTGCTTGCAGGCTGTGTTGGCTTCTTTCATCTCTTGGCTGGCGTGGCGCGGGCAGTAGCCGTGAAGACGGGTCAGGTCGTATGGGCCCTGGGGGAGGTAGTAGTTTGATCCTGTGTGGGCAGGTGTGTAGTGCAAGGTGCATGAGGGATACAAGCAAGGTATGTAATGATCGAGGGGGTTGTATTGACCTGGCGGAGGACTACAGGGTGACAACGGTGCCGAGGCTGCTGGGACAGATTGTGTGGATATTCGTGATCCGGCGGACAAGGCGGACTGGTAGGAAACTACTCGGGATCTTGAGCTTAGACTCGGGGGTTTGTAATTGGCCGGTAGTGGTATGCCGGTCCATCTCGCATCCGATTCTTGGTTTGAAGTTGACTTGATCGTGAGGCTGCTCACACGCTTCCTCATGACTTTGAAAGATCCACTTCGAGACATGGGAAGAGAGTCGGGACGGTGGAGACCTGGCGATTTTGGCGTTCCCCATGCTTGGAAATTATCGATTTGATCCATCAGAGTTGTGGTAGGGCTGGTAAACGAGGGTATGTGATGGTATTGGGCCTTCTTCGAAGAGTTTGGTATTCTATTGATCAGGGGTTCCGGTAGCTGTATAGTCTTCGGTCTTGCTCTCGGCCAGGTCTTTGACTTGGCCAACGGATCTGGTTCTGCGAAGCGTACCGCAGGTGGTGAAGACCTCCTGCTAGATGCCATAGTCACCGCGTCGGAAGATTTGAGACTAGGCTTCAGGCTCGATCGTTGAGGCCTTGGTGGCGTAGACGCTGATGTTGTATTAGACTGGTCACTAAATGATGACTGAGAAGAACGCGGCGTCGAACTGCCACTGGAAGCCGCATCGGCAAAAGGCATATTAGGAGGCATTAGGTTGGTTGCTGTTAGAGTACCGGTAGTGACTGTTGGAGAGCGACTTGTCGAAGTGCTGGCCAGAGAAAATTGGCTGGCTTTCGAGTTTTGTGTACCCTTTGATTGCTGTGTCGGTCGCATAGTGTTGGTCCCTGGATGTAGAATCTGAGACATGACGGGCGGGGATGATGCCGGTAAACTGCCGAATCCAGCCTGGCTTTCAGGGCTCATCGATGAAACAAAAGGAGATCCAACGGACGTGCGTGGTCCAGCAGGAAAACGGTCGTCCGTCTCTGAACTGGCCAGAGAAAAAAGTGGATTGATGATGCGTGCGGGTGACGAAGGCTCAACCAAAAAGCAAACTTGAGGACGAGTGCCGACCAAGCCAAGGACAATGCAGCTTGCGTCGAGGCATCTGCATCATCTAAAAGTACTCTGTATATCGGAAAGCAAACAAGAATGAGAGGCACAGCATATGGGGGCGGAAAGGCCATGTGTATGCGGCCTGGTTACCCACACCGAGAAACGCCGCACAACGCATCGCCCCTAAAGCACCGAATACTCCCTAGCCGTAGTAGCTTCCTGCAGAGCCATGTTAGGATTCGTTTATCGAAGCATCTCAAGCTGTTGGATTCGAAGACTTATGCATAAGGTCTGCAGTGTCAAGAGGCGCAGTTCAGTGCCAGTCAGCCTCGCGAACACCAAATCGCAACGTGATTGGCACCGTCACACGTGGGCCGGCCCCCGCATAGTGGAAGGTAGCTTTAGCAAAAACACAAAGTTCACGTGGGTCGATAGGAGTGACCAGGTGCAGAAGACACTTGGCGTTGGTCTATGCAATCTATCCGTACGACAGGTTGTCGCACATGTATGGTACATCTAGTCTGAGGCTCTGCCGATCGCTCCTGACTGGTAATAGAGTATGGTACAGGGCCGTTTGGCATCAATCTGGTGACCTGACTATAGCTTGGGTTTGGGCTGTTCTTGCTTGAGCATAGCTTCGGCAACAAGACGTCGCTGGATCTTTCCTGTTGCAGTCTTCGGCCTATGAGTGCGCAGTCAGTGCATGGTTCATCTGCAATGGTATCGTTCACGTACATGATGTCGGTGAAGAAAATCTGCAATTTGTTAGACTAAGTTCCACATATGCGTGTTTGATTGGGTATCTGCATACCTTCTTCGGCAGCTTGAATTTGGCAACGCGATCCGTCAGCCACGTCTTCAGCTCTCCCGCAGTCAGGGCATGCCCTTCTTTAACCACGATCGCAAGACCAACGTCTTGGCCGTACATCTCGTCTTCAATCGCGAAGCTGACAGCTTCAGATACAGCGGGATGCTGCGCAATCACGTTGTCGAGCTCAATAGGACTGATCTTTTCACCACCCTTGTTGATGAGCTCCTTGATGCGGCCGGTAATGATAACATATCCCTCGGCATCCAGCTTGCCCTGGTCTCCAGTGCGGAAGAAGCCATCCTGGGTGAAGGATGAAGCATTGGCAGCTGGGTTGTTGAGGTATCCCTTGGTAACGTTTTCACCACGAATGCAGATTTCAGCTTCTTTCCCTTGCGGCACCTCTTTGCCAGCTTCGTCGAGGATCTTGACTTCGACACCCTGACCGAGCCCCACACTACCAGGCTTACGCTGGTTCGGGGGGAGGGGATTACTGGTCATCTGATGGGCCGCCTCAGTCATGGCGTATGCCTCCAATACCGGAGCACCGAACGCCTTCTCGAGTTCGTGGAACGTTTTAGGCGAGAGTGGACTGGAGCAGGATCGGATGAAGCGGATGTTGGGCATGGGGCTCGGAAGAGGGCTCTTAAGCAAGATCTGATGAATCGTCGGAACAGCCGTGTACCAGTTTGCCTTGTGCTCATTGAAGTCTTTCCAGAAGTCTGAGGCGGAGAACTTGGGCGGCACAATTACTGAGCCTCCTGAAGCCAGCGGCGCGAGGAAGCCAGCAAGCAGGCCGTGGACGTGGAAGAGAGGCATAACCAGCATGGTACGATCCTTGGGCGTCAGCTCGTAGGTTGCTTGGATGTTCTTCATCGTCCGCAGCAAGTTACGGTGCGTCAGAGGCACGGCCTTGGGGCGTCCAGTGGTACCGCTCGTGTGCAGCACAAGAGCGACATCGTCTGGCTGCGCGGACAGGACGGACGCGGTTTTACCCGCAAGCTTTCCAGCCTCTTTGACGTCCAGGACGACCTCGGTGCCATTGTAGTAGCATTCTGCGATGGCGGCATTGTATTTCCTTGCTGCGCGGACAGCTGCCGCATCTTGCGCAAATGCACCCTTTGGTACCAATGCGATCGCTGAGCTCAGGTCGTCGATGTAGAATTCGAATTCAGACTGTTTGTACGCCGGGTTGAGGGGCGCTGCGATTGCCCTCTGCCACGAGGCAGCGATGAAGGAGACGATGAACTCGTACGTGTTGGGCAGCGCGATGGACACAGCGGCCTCGGCAGAAACGCCGACCTTTGCCAGCTGCTGTTGGAAAGCCTTGACATCGGCGGCAAGCTTCTTGTACGAGACAGTCAGGGCAGGGCTACCGGGCACGATGACGGCGGTCGAAGCCGAGTCCTTGGAGAAGGCGTGTTCGAGAGTGGTTGGGGCCATGGCGATGGATTACTAGATAGGAGATCTGATGGTCGAGATTAGAGGAACACTGCTGTGCGCGGGTTTCCTGGGCGATGGTACCTTTATGCTTCTATGACGCGCAATGAAATCTACAATTGATAAGAAACACCAGAGCCTGCTCAGATGTATTCGGAGATGTGGAAATGACTTATCACGGATAAGGATTTGGATGACAGCATGGTAGCAGGCGTTCCTGCATGCCCGCGCGATGCGGCTAAGCCTTTAGCGTG